GCTTTATATGTTCGTTTCGTGTTACTTAAGGCAATAGTACAGGGTAATACACGTAATAAATACTGAAAACCCGTAATAAATATTCCAAGGGTCTTATTACACCTTCAGAGGGACAATACACTCGGGAGGCAGAAGAGGAGGAGAGCATCGGACAGCGTGTCATACTCACTGGCCGACTATCGTACAGCAATACAAAAATATCGTGCCCTAGATGCTTAAGATAAAGTAATCTTGCTGATATAATAACACATATACAAAGTTTTGTTCTCCACGTTGCCAATAATAACAACAGGCTTGGAAACCTCACCTGAAGGACACGGCCCACACTGGAAACCTCCGGGGTAGTTGACGCAAGTGACGAGCGAAGAACAGCGGGTGTGATAGGAACTGCACTCGTTCACATCCACGCAGGCCGGCGTGCTGTTTCCGGGAGTCCAACCCTGCGTGGATGTGAAGGAATCGAGGGCATTAAAGCAGGGGAAAAGTACATATAACTTAAAAAGAGTTTAGGTATCTTGCTGGGGAAAAGATGGACGAATTTGTGAATGGAAGTTGAATGAATATGAGTTGAATTTAATATATATATATATATATATATATATATATATATATATATATATATATATATATATATATTCAACAACAACAACAAACAACAACAGACTTTGAATCATCACCCGAATGACCCCCCCCCCCCCCCAACGCCGCTTTATATGTTCGTTTCGTGTTACTTAAGGCAATAGTACAGGGTAATACACGTAATAAATACTGAAACCCGTAATAAATATTCCAAGGGTCTTATTACACCTTCAGAGGGACAATACACTCGGGAGGCAGAAGAGCAGGAGAGCATCGGACAGCGTGTCATACTCACTGGCCGACTATCGTACAGCAATACAAAAATATCGTGCCCTAGATGCTTAAGATAAAGTAATCTTGCTGATATAATAACACATATACAAAGTTTTGTTCTCCACGTTGCCAATAAGAACAACAGGCCTGGAAACCTCACCTGAAGGACACGGCCCACACTGGAAACCTCCGGGGTAGTTGACGCAAGTGACGAGCGAAGAACAGCGGGTGTGATAGGAACTGCACTCGTTCACATCCACGCAGGCCGGCGTGCTGTTTCCGGGAGTCCAACCCTGCGTGGATGTGAAGGAATCGAGGGCATTAAAGCAGGGGAAAAGTACATATAACTTAAAAAGGTATGTTTAGGTATTTTGCTGGGGAAAAGATGGATGAATTTGTGAATGGAAGTTCCAGTAGGTGTAAATGAATATGAGTTGAATTTGCATTTTGGAAAACTTTTTTTTATGTTTTTTTTTTTTTTTGCATATTAATTTTATTTTGCCTTTTTGAATATATAAGTCTAATTATTCTTCACAGTCCAAATTGTAAGAATTTAGTACAAGTATATCAAAATAAAACATATAAATCAAAACGAAAACAAACTAATGCAAACAAAAAAACAAAAAACAACATTAATGACGTAAATATAACAATTAAAAACTCAAGTAACAAGAAAATAAAATACAAAGGCATTCCAACCCCTCCTGACGCTGCGTACCTCATCACACACGCAGGAGAAGGCGTGACCTCGGCGGGGCGTGTTGATGCAGACCCCGTGAGGCCCGCAGAGGGAGGAACCGGAGGACGCCGTGCACGAGTCGCTCTTAAGGGTACAGTGTACGCCGTACCATCCAGCTGCACATTGGCACGTGTAACCCCCTGGTGTGTTGACGCACGTGGCACCGTTCTGTTGGGAGAAGGGGGGAAGGGAAGGGAGGGGAAGGGGAGGGAGGGGGAGGGGGAGGGGGAGGGGGAAGGGGAGGGAGAGGGGGACGGGAAGGGGAAGGGGAGGGAGAAGGGGACGAGGACGGGGAAAGGTAGAGGAAGGGAATGGGGAAGGAGGCAATTTAAATGTGCACGAGAACTTCATGGATGTGGTAAGTTTATGCGCAAGTGGTCGGCTCTTATTTTCTTCCCCACGCACACACACACACACACGTGCACACATACACACACACACACACACACACACACACACACACACACACACACACACACACACACACACACACACACACACACACACGCGCACACGCGCACACACACACACGCGCACACACACACACACACACACACACACACACACACACACACACACACACACACACACACACACACACACACACACACACACACGCACGCACCCCTCCCCCCCCACACACACAAATACTTCATTTAGTTATTTAGTTACTTATCCATTCCACATAAGCACGTACACCCACGCCGCCCTCACCTGGCACCCCAGATCCGTCCCAAAGAAATCGTAGCACTCGTTGAAGTCATCGGCGCAGTTCTCGCCCGTCCAGCCCTTCTGACACAGACATGTATAGGACATGTATCCGTCGATGCACGTAGCCCCGTTCCGGCAGGGCCCGCTGGCACACTCGTTTATTTCCAGCCGCGCGTTGAGACGCCTCAGCTGTGCCAG